GGACTCTGCTGCCCACTTCCCCCCAGGTTGAATATGACTCATCCACCACCACCCTCTGAGTATGACCCTTCAGCTAATCTGCAATCCATCTGACTGTGTAGGCATCAATGCCACAGTTGCCTAGCTTTTTAATGAGGATGGGGTGGGAGACGGTGTCAAAGGCCTTGCTGAAGTCTAGAAAGACTACGTCCGCAGCGACACCTGCATCCATTGCCTTTGTGACCTGATCATAAAAGGCAATCAGGTTGGTCTGACATGATCTGCCCCTAATGAAACCATGCTGGTTGCCCTTGAGCATCATCCCTGAAGCCGACCCATCACAGATGTGCTCCTTGAGGATCTTCTCAAAGAGTTTCCCAATGATAGAGGTAAGACTGACGGGCCTATAGTTGCCTGGGTCCTCTCTCTTCCCTTTTTTGAAGATGGGGACCACGTTAGCTATCTTCCAGTCATCTGGCATCTGGCCCAAGCACCACAAGCACTCGTAAAGCCGTGCCAAGAGCCCTGCAACATGCTTAACAACACTGGACTCAAGACAGACCCCTTGAGAACTCTACTTGATACTTCTTCCAAACTAGACATTGAGCCATTGATAATTACATCATTATTTACAGCCTTTGCCTTTCTATTGGCTGAATTATGTCAGCCCTACTCAGAATGCTGTGTTATGAATCCCACTCATAGTTGTCTAAGTCTTTCTTTTCACTGTATAGTGAACTTAAGACACATCTACATGGTCCACTGCAGTGCCATATGAGCACACCTGTGTTATTTCTAAATGAGTTGGCTCAGATTCCAGAAGCAGGAGAGTCACATTAGTGTAGTCTTCCACACAGACAAATTAGCCTTGCATGACTCTGAATTGTTCTATGTAAATATACTCTTAGAAGCCTAAATCAAGTTTGTGAATTCCACTCCCCACACCGCATCAGGCATGCTCTAAATCCCTTTTCAGGTCTGGACCTTAGTCCTTCTCTTTAGATTATTTTAGCTATTATAATAGAAAAGCATGTTGTTAAGTTGAAACCAAATTATGACAACACAGTGATGAAATGGGCTGATAAATAAAAGCTGTGTGTGACATATGCTTTATTTTGTTTTGTTTTAGTAGCTGAATTGAAGTTGCATGATCATGTAAACTTGTATATAAACATGTTTTTGAAGAGAGAGAATTTATGGAGGGAAGGCAAACATATGAAAAGGCAGAAAGTATCAAAACATACTTGCAAGTCTTTGCAAATAAGTAAATACATTAACTAAAACCCAATGCTTGCTTAATTCATATTATGTCAATTAAGCCAATTCACATCATGTCATTATGTCTGTTGTTTTTTGTTTACCATGGAAGATTAAAGATGCAAATAAAGGAAAAAATATCTTCAAATTTCTCTTTCTCCAAAAGAAATAAAAAATGATTTAAAGAAAAATAATAAGTGTTGTATGGGTAGTATAAAAAGACAAAGTTTCATAATCATGATGAAGACCTAGTTACCAGGTTATTTATAACCCATATTCATCTCCATCCATGGTAGAAGCTAAAGCACTTGCCTAAAAATAAATAATTTCGTCCTGCAAAACATCTGATTCATTAACCTTTGTTTTATACTACTGTTGGATCGGTTTTGGTATTTAAAAAATACAAACTATTTAGAGGACATTGAGTTCTAGAAACACAATGCCAACTACACACTTTGTTTTTTTGGAAACTTTCTTCTTGTCTTTGATCCTTCAGGTGCACAAATGTGAATTGCCTTAGCTGATTGGCAGGGATCCTGGTTTTCTCTGATAAAGAAAAACATCCCCAAGTTTCAGATTTTAAAAAGTAACCCAAAATCCACACTTTTCCATGATTAAAATGAAATACCACTCTATGATAGATGGATAGATAGATAGATAGATAGATAGATCTATGATTCTGCTCCCAGCAGGCAGAGCAAGCCAGCCCCAGCACAGCAGCAGGGCATACCCTGCCTCCGCCCCCACACACACTGCCCTGGGAACAGCTCGCTCTGCCTGGCAGGAGCTGAGCCCATCTTAGTGGCGGTAAGGTATACTGTGGCTGCTGGGAACACTAGGGCTGTGGTGCTCGCTCTGCCTGATGTGTCTGAGGGGCAAGGCACTGTGCCCAGCCTCACTGCACCCTTGCTTTCCCATGTGCCTGAGGAGCCACTGCATCCTGGGATGCTGTAGGGCTTCAGCTTGGACAGAATAACTTCCTGGAGTTGCCACACCATAATGGAACAAGAACAAAATTAGGTGGATTAGAGATAACCCTGCTCTGGAGTGGCATAACTTTAGTAATGAGTAGTTTAAGCCACTTTAAAGGTGTTTACATGCAGCCAGTCCAGGGGTTAAGAACTCCAGAAACTACCTAAAATTACCAGGTAATCATTAGCTTAGAGCCTGGACACTTATTTATGTAAGTAATTGCAGAAATGTTTTTAGATTTCCTGTAGTACATGTGGACATGAATGTAAGCTGTGAGTAGCCCTGCTCAGCACAGTAAGTATGTGAATTAGAAAGGCTCAGGTCTGATTTCTCAAAACTTTTCCTGTATCTATCATACACTGAGATATTAGAAATTTAAGAAATAGATGTTCACAGAAATAGCTAACTAGGAGTCAGTAAAAAGGTGTGGCAATTATAACACTCTGACACATTCTCAGATGGAGTAAAGTGCTTCAGTATATTCTACTGAAATCAATCACATTGGCCACAAAGAATTTAGTAGGAAGATGAAGGTGATAATAGTAATTGCCTGTTGCACACGTTCTGGGGCAGCTTGTTAATCAGAAGTTGTTAAGATAGTTGTTTGAAATGTTGTCACTGGACAGGATCTTTATAAACAAATGAGCAATCCCTACAGTACTAATGATACCAATTTATCACTGAGCTCCAGTTTGTATGTTTTTTAGTTTGCAATCTGTTACAGGAAAATGGCAGTGGTGGTTGACTCTTTTTTAATGAACATTTTAAGTACATAATTTTACTCCATTTGTGCCAGGAAATTGCCCAGACACCTTCATTAGAAATAAAGC